TATTGTTATTAAACATGACACTTATTTTTTTAATTGAATCTACATCTTCTAATATTACCAACTAATAAGTAGCCAAAGAGTTATTTTCTTAAATGACACAAGAGGAGAAACAGTCTTAACGTTTATGATTTAACCCTAACTTGTTTGGTTCAGTGGATAGAGCGTCAGAAGCTCCCTCTCCCTTCTTCTCTGAAATCAATAAAAATATATTTTTAAAAATTATGATTTACTTGAAAAGATCTGAAATAAAGCATTTGTCAATAATGAAAATCTTGAAACAGTAAATTTTATAATCCTGAAGAAATAATGCTGGTAGCATTAGACACAGATGTAAAGATATTCTACAAGTTGTTTTCACTATAAGCAAATTAAAATAAATAAATAAATAGTGATGGTGACGGTGGTAGTGAATCACACTTATGTGCCAAACAAACTTCTAAGTTATTTACATGTACGTTACATCATAAGAAAGGTCAGATATTCCTCATTATACTGTTCATAAAATGGAGATGAAAAAAAGTTACCTTGTTCAAGAAAGGACTGTTTGTAAGTGGCAGACTACTATAAAAATAAACACAAAGAGCCCTAACCAGTTTGGCTCAGCGGACAGAACATCGACCTGCGTACCAAAAGGTCCGGGTTTGATTCTGGTCAAGGACACATACCTAGGCAACCGGGGTTGCAGGATTCTTCCCAGCCAGGGCCCTGATTGGGGCACATGCTGGAGGCAACCAAGCAATGTGTTTCTCTCACATCGATATTTCTCTCTCCTTTTCCCTCTCTCTTCCATTCTCTCTAAAACTCAATGGAAAAATATCTTCAGGTGAGGATTAAAAGGTAAATTAAAAAAAGCACAAAGGTATGCCAATTCACACAACACTTCCGCCCTGTTGTCTTTTTTTTTTTTTTTTTTTAAAGTAAATCATGCATGTGTAAAAATGTACAAGTTATGTGGGTGGCTCTATGAATTATCAAAAAATGAACAAACTTAAGGAATTCCCACCTAGAACTAAAAATTGGGCACAATCACCATCCCATCATCAGCACATCTCTACCTCTTCAAAGTGATCTCTTCTCAAATTTATAAAAGCATAAATCATTACTTGATTTTGTATCTTATTGAAATGAAATAGTATCACATGTATTGCTTATTTCATTTTCCTTTATTATTTGTGAGATTCATCAGTCTTGTTCCAAGGAGCAAATGTTCATGAATATGTGTGTCTGTTCTGAACTTCCTGTTCTGATCCATTGGTTTACATATTTATCTTTAAATTAACACTACACAGTTTGATTGACTATAGATATTTAACAGTTGATTTTCTTTTGTTTTTAAGGTACTTATTTCTGGTGCAGTTAAGAGAGATGTAAATGATATAATTATTTGAGTTAAAATTTGCTCAGTGTTATTAAATAAAATCAAACATGGTGGTCCTGTGATTAAAGTAAGAAGAAAAAAAAAGAGTTGCTCTTCTTTTCAAGATTGTCAAAACTATCTCTGGAATTTCACTAGTAACATTAGAATCAGCTTTTCAGTTCACACATGCAGGCCTACACAAATTGCTGGGATTATTTTTCCAGGAAACCCACTGGACATATAAAATCACTTTGATAAATTTTAACATATTTTCAATATCACATTTTCCAATCTTAAACAAGTTCTATTCTCCCTGTTATTTATATCTCTGTAATCCCTCTCAGTAATGTTTATACTTTTCTGTATAGAGATTTTGCATAGATTTTTTTTCTAGGTATTTTGCTTTTGCTGCCAACATAAATAATAAATATTTATAAAAGTGATTTTACAATTGTTTGTTAGTTGAATATATATAAATGAAGCTGATTTTAGATTGATTTGATATCCAATAAGCTTGCTAAATCTTATTTTAATAGTTTACCATAGTTTTACTATCTTATTATAATAATAATAATATTGTATTACAAATATTTGCAATGTTATTTGCAAATAGTGAGAGTCTTTTCTCCCCCCTCCCCTGATTTTTACATATTTTATGTCTGCTTGCAGCAGTAAGACAGTCTAGGACAGTGAAGAATGTAAATGACGATATAGTGGACATTCTTATATATTTGTGAACTATTAGTATTTCATCATCTGATATGTTTCTGCATGTGTGTGGTTTTATTTTTTTTAATACTCATAATTGAATTAAATAATTTTTTTTTTCTTCTGAGTGTGCTAAGGGGACATTTGTAGTAATGATATTGTTGATTTGTTTTTGGTTTTTAATCATGAAAGTGATTTTTGTTTTAGCGAATGCTTTTTGTGCTATCAAATGCTTTCTCTGAATCTACTGAAATTACTTTTCTCCTGGCAAGAGATGAAATTTTTCACCATTGTTCTGTTTATGAAAGAAAATTGCCTTAATTTTAACTCAATGTTAACTCAATGATTTCTCAATGTTAACTCAATTTTGCATTAATGATTAAATACAGTTTGGAGATGATGTACTATTTATTTTGTGCATTGTTGAACTCATTGTGTTAACTTTTTCTTTAGGATTTTTGCACCTGTGTTTAAGAGGCACTTTACAATATAGTTTCTCTTTCTTGTGAGGTTTCTATGGTGATGTGGTTTCAAAATAAATTTATTTTTTCCCTACCATCTTAAATAATTCTTGGAAATATTAACGTTATTTATTTCTTGAATATTTAAAGAATTTTCTAATGAAGCCTTGTGGGCCTATAGTTCCTTTGAGGGAAAGGTTTAAATTATGGATTCAATAAATCAATAGCAAATTTTCTTTTTCTTCTTAGTTTGCCCTTAAACCTCAAGAATTACAACATTCCACTACAGAATGCCCAGAGTTCTTTGTCTTTTGGAATTCTTTCTGAATTTTTAGCTGCCATGGTAGCAATATCAAAACAACAGAAACACTGGTATAAAGAAAGGGGGAATGAGGATGGAAGAGACTTACCACAGAATTTATATGCATCTGCACATAACCCATGACAGAAATAGTGAAGTGAAGGCTTGGAGCTGGGGGGCAGGGTGGAAGAGCTCAATGGGGGCGGAAGGGGACATCTGTAATACTTTCAACAACAGAGTAAAAAAAAAAAGAAAAGGGTGTATAATCACATGAAAAGCTTTCTCAATGCAATTATAAATGAAGATGATCCAATGGGTATTTCACTTACATTAGAATAAAAACAAAGTGATCAAACAGTTTCACATGGATCTTCTTAATTTTATATTAGCTTATATCTCAAAAAGATTTTTAGTATTTTTACTAAGTTTAATAAAGAGTTATGAATATGTTAGAAAAATACATGTTTCAAAGTTGTAAAGTAAATATAATGTAAACAGCGGCTTAGAAAAAGCTGGTTTCATGAATAAATTGCCTGATCTTTATTCAGGTGTGAGTGGTTTGGGCTTATATATCTTATCCTATATTCAAATTTCAAATTTATACCCTAAGTCAATGATAAATTGATAAGTATAAATAATTAAAACACTGTGATATCTACATATTATGAAATAATTTAATATCTCACCAAAAGTTTACATTTAAAAATTATAAAAATAAAATTTTGTTGTTTTATATTTCAGCAGTAGATATATGTTGAAGACTATAGAATTTATCTTAAATAAGATTACTGAAATTAAAAATTGCCAGTGCTATTTCCATTACATACAAATTTGTCTAACATTGATTATTCAGCAGTAATCTTAAAGTCATTTAAAATATTTTCACATTTGACTGTACAATGTTTACTACCACTTGTTAATTTCTAGGATACAATAATTAGAAGTTATTTAGCTAATAGCAAAAATCAGTGTTTCAAATAAAATTTAATAATTTATATACAAGCAATGACTAAATACATATTCATTGAATAATAGAGAAAAGCATCAAATATTAATTTTTTTTAAAGAGTCTCTAGTGGTCACAAAGCAGCCAGAATGTAAAACATGAAGGAAATCATATTTCAAAATCTCCATTTACTTTCTGGTCCACATTTCCAGTGCCTGACATCTATTCCCCATCATAATAACTCCTCACATAACAAATAGCAATGTATTGTTTAGGAGGGGTTTTCTTGGCAATAATGGCCTGTGAAGGGAATAATTTAACTTCTGAAAGGACTTTCAAAGGAAATACCTTCTGAGGGACTAAAGGAAGCATGAAAGCCTTAGGAGCAGGTTACACTTAGCAATAGTTAGAGAAAATGGATGCAGACAAACAAAAAGGCCGGGTTCCAACAACAACCAAAAATTAAATTAAATTATTTTTTTTCTTCCCTAAAACACATATTTTTTAAAAAGTCAAGCACCCTGTGTGGCCCTCCTTGGTGTCAGCGCTATGTGACATCACTATAGATGTCATAGAACGTTGCCTTGGTTATTTTCTGGCACAAAAAAGGAATCAAGCATGCAGGGAGTTCAGAGGCCACAGAAATGTAAGTAAGGATGGCTGGCACCAATAAATGTCTCAGTAAACATGGGGAGAAGCAACGACAGTGTATATAAGCTCTTTAGAAAGCGTTTTCTGGTTCTTACCAAGACAGACGGGTGTTCTTAAGTGCCTGGTATTTTTCCACATCAATACAGGTAAGTTAATTATAAGCAATGAGTATCTGAGTGGACTCTTAATAGTTTGGTAATAGTTTAGGACATCGTTTAGTTTGGCACCCAATGCAACTGAGTGTATTAACCATGAACAATATTCAATCTGTAATCTAGAATTATTAATGTATCATTTATGTGTTGAAATCTAGTTAAACTTAAGTTTGTTATATCAACCTGAGAGTTCATGTATTGACTTGTCTTGCTGTTATCCCCGTTTTCTTCTGCAGTGGACCTCACTAACCTTGCTTAGTAGTAGTCCTTGTGCAAATCGAAACAGCAGCCAATCGTATAGGAGCCCATTCTCAACAAATTCAGGACCTTTTCCCGTTGCAGCTATCATTCGTTCACCTTTGCCTGTCCCCAGGACCCTCGGACTTTGTCCAGTTTGCTCAGACACAATCCCCGAGAGGCCATGGCAGGCTCGGAATCCAAGCAGATGAAGAGAGGGAAGCTCTTGCGCATGTTCTCTAGGTTCTTCTCTTGCCTCCGAGGTCAACCACAGGAGCCCCAACGGGAGTTGGAGAGGGTGAAGAAGGACCTCCGGAGGGACAACCAGGCCTCCCGGAACGAGAACAACGCGCTCCGCAGGGAGAACTTGTGCCTGTGGGTGGAGAACATAGCCCTCCGGAGGGAGAACAAGGGCTTCCTCGTGGAGAACCAGTCCACCCGCGAGAGGAACCAGAGGCTGCGGCAGGTGAACCAGGACCTCTGGATGGTGAACACCGTGGTGAGCAAGACCCCGTGGGAGAAGATCAACATCCTGAACACGGAAACCAAGTCCTACCGGCAGCAGAACAAAGCCCTGAAAGCCCAGACCAAGGCGCTCTGGAACCGGGAGGTGGCCTACCGCAAGGAGGCCAAGGCCCTGCAGGAGGAGATCAGGTCCCTGCAGGAGAACATCAAGGGCCTGCAGCACCAGGAGCGAGCCATTCGTCTGGAGGAGCTGGCCCTGAGGAAGGAGGGGAACGCGCTGGAGATGGAGGAGCAGGCCCTGTGGAAGGTGGAGCTGGCCCTGCGCGAGGAGAACCAGGCCCTCCGGGAAGAAAGCAATGCCCTGAAGGAGGTGGAGAGGGCCCTTCTGGAGGAGACCAGGGTGCTGGAACTGTGGAACAAGATTCTTCTGGGCCAGGAGATCAGCCGGGCTAGCTGGGGAGGTGCCCAGTAAAGGACAGAGAGCAGGAGTCGGGTTAGATCCAGCGAGCCATGGAAACCATGGGTGTTCCGGAAAACAAATTCAAACTTTGGAAGGCGGTAGACTCTTATTGGGGCTGAGTCGAAATCCTGGAAATGGACATGACATTGCTCTGTATTTGATCTTAGAAACAAAATAAAGTTCTTAAAATTAAAAAAAAAAAAAGAGAGAGAGAGATATCTAGGTTTACTTTAATTTTACACTTCTATTAGTGGTTATTTTTACTCTAGAAAGCAAATATGTACTGCAGGAAATGTAATGCTGGAATGAACTAACTGGTTATGGTGGTAACATTCAGAGATAGAGGGTGAATATTGTAAAGAATTAACAGCAAAGAGGAAATATTTTCCTTAAAACTTGTCCTTTAAATTCAGAACTATGTTGTAAATATAAAGTTTTACATAAGTATTGTGGGGGAAAAAATGTGTAAGAATATCACTTCTGCCTCGCAATGCTTATTCCAATTATCTCAACCAGGAGGCTGATAAAATAATAGGAATTTAAAAGTTTGTGACAGTACAAAACATTTTAATGCGAGTTCACAGGCTTCCTCACTTTCTCTTTATTTTTCCTTCAGTGATCACCTTCCTTTACCTTCCTGGGAGGGTGGATGTCCTATCTCATGTAGTAAAGAGAGAAAAGGGAGTAAGAGAACAAAGGTCTCTAAAGTAGGAGTGTTGGAGCTTGAAATGGGATTCTGTGTCTCAGTGTATGTTCAATGAAAATTGTAGAAGAAATGGAGTTTTCAGAAGTGTTAATATTGATAATTGATCTAGTTCAGTGATTTTCAATCTTTTTTCATCTCATGGCACACACAAACTACTAAAATTCAGGGGCATTGAATTCCAAGGAATATGTTTTTTTGCCAATTGCCACAGTCTTCATGGCAGGGTTCAGGATTTGAAGGGAGGGGCTGACACACAAATGGAAATGCTATACAAGAGTATGAATTTAGAAGGCATTGGGGCCCAGGGGGAGCCTCTTTCTTGAAGAGACAAACCAACTTCTGGCCTGGCCCACTATTTATTTAATTGAAAACACATTTTTCGTTTAGCAATGCTTACTGGCATATCAAAGGTAAAGTTTGGTAAACAGTGAAAGGGTTACGTTAGGGAATTGCCTTGAGCCAATCAGCAGGGCATTTTGCTGATTTTTCAGCCCTGCTGAATATCGAAGTCCATTGGCCTCCCAATGATTCTTTTTGCATTAATATGCTAACTGCTGTTGGCTTTATCCTCTAGCAGTCATTCTGACAAAAAGTAGATATAATTTTGATTCATTCACACAAGACAGCTACTAGTATTGTTGTGTTGGCTGTTGTCATTTATTTGACAAGCTAAGAAAAAAAATATTAAATAGTCAAGTATTGCGTGTTTTAAAAATTCTTGCAGCACACCAGTTGAAAATCACTAATCTAGTTGAATGCTGTTTAAAAAAAAACAACAAACAAAACTAATCTGCAAAAACTGAGTTAAATGTACTTATAATGGATTTGTTAAAGGTAGAGATGTAATTGCATTACATTACAAACTGCCAGAGGGCTGGTGCTGTACCTTGTTTTTCATTATCGTAAATTTTGGGCACTTAAAACAGGGTAAATATTTAACACTTTAAAAAAGTATCTTTAACGTATTACATATAGTATTACACATGTCTCGCTTTCCCCCCCATTGACCTCTCCCCAACCACTCTCACCCTCCCCCCCAGCACATACCCTCACCCCCTTTTGTCTGTATTCATGGATTATGCTTATATGAATGCATGCAAATCCTTTGGTTGAGCTCTTACCTGCCCTCCCTTGCCTTCCTTCTGAAGTGTGAAGGTCTGTTCAATGCTTCTCTATCTCTAGATCTATTTTTGATCATAGTTAGAGAAAGATAAATATCACATGATCTCAATTGTGGAATATAATGACCAACATTTAATGCTTTTTATTGAATACTAGATGCACTGGGGAAAAGGGGTGTTCCACAGACCAGCCTGCACCCTCTCCAGTCTGGAATCCCTCGGACATCTCTATCACAAACTAGGACTGTGGCTCCCAACCATTCGTCTGCCTTCCAGCCTGATCACCCCCTAACCACTTCCCTGCCAACTAACAGCTCCCCTGCTGGCCGGATTGCCCCAAACTGTCCTTTCCTGCTGGTCCAGTAACCCCCAATTGCCCTCCCCTGCAGACCTGATCCCTTCCCCAACTGCCCTCTCCTGCAGGCCTGGTCACCCCTAACTCTCTCCTCCCCTGTTGGCCTGATCACCCAAAACTACCCTCCCTTGCTGACCATCTTGTGGTGGCCATGTTTGACCACATGGGGGCAGCCACCTTGTGCAAGGGTGTGAGGGTCAATTTGCATATTACCTCTTTCTTATATAGGATAACAGATACTATCTTATTCTGATTCTTGTGTGATGATGGTGGCACAGAAGTATAAGTATAGAAAGAGAGCACATTTTTCCTTTCCTAGGTGCTGCCACTTATGCAAAAATGTCAACGTATATCTATTAGGAACCTTTAATTAGCACTCTATAAAGTAACACAAATACACATTTAAGTATAAAGAATGAAAAGAGATGAATCCCTGATTTTAAGGATTTCACAGCCTACAAAGGAAGATAAACATTTTTAGTTTATACTTTGAGAGTCTGCCATCTGATAAAGAGTTTACTGACCACTGTTCCCTGGAGCATACAGGGTGGGGCAAAAGTAGATTTCCAGTTATTCATATGGGAAGTAATACAATGATTAATAAATAATAATACAAGAATAAACTTTGTTTCAATCCTCACAACTGTAAACCTACTTTACCCCCCCCCCCACCCTGTATACAACTACCATTTAAATAAAATTATTCAGCCTTGGAGGAGACAAGATTTATAGAGATGTTCTGAACTGACTTGTAGTCCGATCTGGACAGGGAAGAAATGCAAGCCTTTATCATTTTGCCAACCTGAAAAGATGCAGCAGTAGCCTGCAAGGAAGGAAAATGGCCAAGTTTGTGTTCTAGGGGGTTTATTGATATCCATTCTGTTGACTACACATTTATTTTGATATGGTATTGTTCATAGAAAAGGGTCCTTGCCTATTTCACTCTCTGGTGGTGAGGTCAGAGAGCTCGTTCCCATGGGGTGGATCTGGTTATCACTGACTTCTCTCAGGAAAAAAATCTGTCATCATTACATCACAGCTAAATCAGCAGCAGCTCAGGTTAGACTTAAAGAGTAGGACACACTGATCAGAATTTCAGTCTCCTCTTTGGATTTAAATGCTAAGCTAAGGATTGACACTGCTACAGAGAAGTTTTATTTTATAGTACACTCTACAGTGAGAAATTGCATAATTAAGGAATAGGTTTAAAACAATTTATGTTGATATCATTCATCATAAGGTCTATGATAACTCACTTTCACAGACTTACACAATTTTTCTACTAAAACTTCTAGTTAATGTCATTTTAATGAAATACTATATTGAAATTATATTTCCTCATGTAATAAGTTATATATACTTAACTGTACATTAAAATCTTCTCATATATCTGGCAAGTCTGACTTAGTTGGTTAGAATATTGTCCCATACAGTAAAGGTAGTGGGTTCAATTTCTAGTCAGGGTTACATACCCAGATTGTGGGTTCCCATCCCCAGCTGGGATTCCTATAGAGGTAGCCAAGGTATCTCTCTCACATCAATGTTTCTATCTCTATTTCTATCTCTATCTCTATCTATCTCTATCTATCTTTGTATCTCTTCCTCCTTCCTCTCTAATAACAGTAAAATAAAATAAAAGACATCCTTGGGTGAGGATTAAAAAAAAGTTTTCTTATGTATTGTAAGACATCAATTTTATTAAAATTATTTGTTAAAAAGATGAAATGTTTTGAATGTATTGTGATGTTCAATACATTTACTATTTACTGTAAATAGTCTTTGTTTCTTTTTGTCCATTTCTAGATCTCTCTTCATGGTTTTCAGAAAGGGCAGCCACCTAAAGGCTATCTGAATACATAATCCTCCCCAAAAGCTCGCTGTTAGGGATCCTTTAGAAGATCATCAGGTCTAAGCTCCTGGGGAAAGCTCCATTATTGAATATCGGAAGTCTCAGGCTCACAGGCCTTTTCTCTTTCATTACAACCATCATGCTCTTTCTAGACTCTGAAATGTAGAAATTCCACATAAGGTACTACATCCCTAAAATATTTTACCAAATGTCCTATATCTTTAACCACTTTTGTGAAAGTTCCTTTATGTCTGATACTGCCCTCTCAATGTACCTTTCAACTGAAGGCTTTTAAACACCAGTACAGATGGAACTAGTGTGGGTTTCCTTATTTCTCACTATTTCTAAAACCTTTATCCTATTTCTTCCTGTGAAAGATTTTGTTTCAATGAAGTCCATGGTATGAAATACCCCTTTCTATCCTATGTAAAACTTCATATTCAGACTTTTCCTTCATAATTGTTCAGACATGAAAAATGTTGGAATCTGGCTTATAATAGTAGTCCTTCCCACCCCTTCTGCTTTTATGATGTGTATGACTTCAGATGCACATAGATATATAGTCCAGAAATGTGCCACACACATCCCTGAACCTTCTTATCTTCAAAAACCAAAACCAAACTCTTTCTTCCATATCATTTCAGTTTCTATCCTTGTCATGCTGTAAGACCCTTATGATTTGTAAGTACAATGATTAAAAAACGTGACCAGTGTGGAGCAGTTGGCTGAGCATTATTCAGTGCTTGGAAAGGTTCCCAATTTCATTTCTGGTCAGGATACATGCCAGGGTTGTGGGCTCAATCCCTGATTGGGGGTATGTCTCATTCTCACTTTGAAGTTTCTCTCTCTCCCTTCCCCCTCCTAACTAAAAAGTAGTAAAAAAAACAATATTTTTTTAAATGTGAATTGTCCATTTTCTGAATAGACTTCTTATACATCTAATCTCCCTACTTACCCAACTCATGTTGAAATCCAACTTCA